AGACCACAACAGGCCACAGTTGTTCCCAGTGCTTAGGCCGCCGTCACCCTAAACGGAAACGTCTAGAGTCAGACCAGCAACTTCCGCCTAACACCGAGTGTACCGATCGACCCGGGAAAAAACTTAAATGGTCCGGTTCCATTAGAACTGATCGATCAGTAAAGACTCACATCCAAACCTGTGCCACTAGTTAACCCAAAGATATGAGGAGCTATTCCAAGTGTCTTTGCAGCAACGTGACAAAATCCCGAAGATGCCAGAGCTCCGATCCCTCCGTCTCGGCCTTGTCCCCAAAATCATAATCCTGACCGAAACGCGGTTATCACCTGACACAAGTGACACCGAAGTTAACACTGACGGCACGCTTCTGTTCAGGAGAGGCAGAGAACACAAGGAATGAGAGGGGTTGCAATACGCGTGAACAGTTGGCTCAAAAGTGAACAAACTACTGACACTGCTGGTAGAGCTCCCAGACTCTATCTGGTGCCACTTCACGGTCAAACCTAATAAGCACTTGGTTGGAGAAATCTATGGGTCCCCCAATAGCAACTTGAACAACCAAAAACTACTCCAAGTAATATCCGCAGTGTCAACAATGGGGTGGCGACTGCAACGCTCCAACTCAGCCTATATCAAGGTAGTACGGCTCTAAGCCAGGTTTTCTATTGTAACCTGCTTAATGCTATCCAAATGTCTAGACCGCACGAAAAAGTCAGCTACAACACCCACTGGGAGTCAGATGGCAGGCTATCCAAGCTGGATTACCTACTGACTGGTGGTCACCTTCTGGTTGAAACCGTGCAGGTCCAAACTCCTCTTGGAAGCAGCGATCATGCCGTGGCTGTTTTCGACCCAGTAATAAGTGAACAATTATCGTGGAAGGGAACTCGCTCTTGCCCGGCTACAACAGGGCAAACTATGAAGGAATGAAGCAAAGCCTATTGGGAGCTGCGTGGACAGTGGTTTGAGGCACATTATTGACTGACAAACACTGGGAGTTGGCGAAAGACATCATTGGGGCGGCGACCTCGCAGAACGTTCCCTTGGTGGTAACAACGCTCAGAAAGTAAACCTCATGGCTAAAACCAGGCACTGAGTGCCACACAGAAGCCAAGAGAAAGGCATGACATAAATGGAGGAGCTCCAGAGAAGACGACGATCACGAAGCATTTATAGCTCTACGAAATGGGTGCGACATCAGGGTGCGAGAAGACAGGAGGTCGTTCAAGTTTAGCCTTGCCAGGAAGCTTGAGGTAAACTCCGAAAACCTATGCCAATCCACAGCAAGGAGAAAATCCACAGGCTAAGAAGCATGCGTCATAAAAGATCCGAACAGAGAAAACCTCTCTGGTTGGGAGATCACCGAAATGTTAAACACCCCGTTTGACACACAGCTAAGCATTCTATCAGGACAGTATACGTACCTACTGCCCGAACAGTCCCCAAGTTATCCAGCGCTGCAGAGCTACACGAAACGCAGATAACCTGAGCTGTTGTTCTCGACAAGCTATCAAAGTTAAGCACAGGAAAATCCCCAGGGTGCGATGACATCCGCCCATCTGTGTTGGAAGAGTGTACAAGTTCCCTAAGTGGCCCACTCTGCAGTCTCTTCCAGCACTCCTTGGAAGAATAAAAACTGCCACGAGAGTGGAAACGAGGCATCCTCTCCCCAATCTTCAAATCAGGAGACAGGCAGAATCCAAACTGTTATATACCCATAGCGCTTCTACCAGTGATGTCAAAAGCTGTGGAAAGTGTGATGGACGGCCGCATCAGGGAATATCTGAACACGAATAAAGCACCTGGTGACGCTCAACATGGCTTCAGAAAGAGTAGGTCCTGTGCCTCCAACCTCCCGACGGTCCATTATCGCTGGGCAGCATACTGGGATTTCAAGGTCCCGGTTCACGCGATTTTTCTAGATTTCGCCAAAGCTATTGATACTATCTCACGCTCGTCTCTCAGCTTTTGGATTTTTCCACAATGAAAAACTCCCACTTGCAATACTCAATCTAAAAACATCGAACGTTTGCAGCACTTCTGTCCGTCCACGCACCTCACCCCTGCGCATTCGTCAGCTCACTCCTCAACAGTTGAAAATTGGCATTATTATTCCTTTGAACCAACCGGTCTACCTCCTGTCAGTGGTTCTTGGGCGTTTCAACTGCCAAACTGCCTTAGCTCTCGGTTCTCCTCGGAGGTCATTCCCCAGGAAATATCTTTCCTGGTTATACATACGCATCTGGAGCTTACGGTTAAACTCGTTGGTCAAGAGCAGAGGATCAAGTGACAAGTGTCTGAAGGTGAGCCAACATAAATTATCTTCCCTTTTCTATTCTGTCCTTTTGCTGCATTCAGTCTTCAACCCTCTTATTGTTGTTAACTACTTGTTTTCCCAAGAAGTTTATATCATAGCGACATGTCTGCCCAAAACGCTAGGTCTGAAGCTTTGACACGGATAACGCGGTCGTGCACAAAACGGCCAGTAACACCCTAAACAACACACTAGTCTGTACTAGAAGACAAACAGAGGTAGGGCAGAACACCGAACTTCTGAAGAAGTGGCCAACCCATGTTTCTAGAATTCCAGTAGCCATCAGACAGGTGACACAGAGTAGCACTAGCCCGTCACAAACTAGTCCTATCTTGAGCAAGGATCATACCATGCCTGGAAATAGAAGACGACGTAAAAGGCTTCAGAACAAGGCAGCCACAAGCAGTTCGCCACAATCCGTAGCACCTTATTCATGGAAGGAAGGCTGTATTACGACACCCGATGGCTGCAGTGTTTGCACCAAAGTTGTTTCGGTAGTCGATGAGGCATTTGCATGCAACCTGTGTCAACGATGGGCGCATTGCCACTGCGATACCAAAGTCCCCCGACAATACTATAAGCTGATGAAGAGACAACCATGCAAGTGGTTCTGGTACATCTGTCCAGAGTGCAGGAAAATGCCCGCACTCCGCACAGAAAGCCTGAAGGAGATGCTCTCCGCCACGCAAAAGCTACCAGCATCCTCGAATAAGTAGGGTTAACACCAAAGGATAACACAGAGAGACCTGGAAACAGACCTAGAGCTCCAGCTGTGGGCACGCCACCTCGCGTGGGGACCATATTAGGTCAAGTCTCCATACCCCTACCCGGCCCCAGGGGACGTCAAGCGCATGGCCAAAGACATCGACCGCCGAAGCCTCTACGAAACCCATTCCGAACACCCCACACACCGTGACTGAGAAACAACCAGTGGAATTACTCAAACCCATTGGGAAGTCGGGCGTGCCACCCACAACGAACCCAGGTCACAGGAGGACCAACTCGATCATTTTGTTCAACGTCGATGTATCGACAGACTCATTGTTGGTCGAGAGGGAACAATTTGACAGCCGAATGTGGACCGACTACTGTCAGATGCTGGGACTCCCTCCCCTCCCTGCAACTTTATGTCGCCTTTCTCGAGGAAGCCATGCACCCCGAGATAAGCCACCCCCTTTACGTGTGTCCCTAAATACCGCCAAAGAGGCTGAAGACACACTCCTCCTCTCGCGACAACCGGACGTTGTTAATGCCTGTAAAATTCGGGCCAGGCCTGACAAGCCATGGTCAGTAAGAGAGGAGGAGAGAAAGTCAGCGGTTGGAAATCCCAACAGAAACAACACTATAGTTGTACATGGGATTCCAGAATTGCCAAGTGACAGCTCGGTCAAAGATCGGTACTTTCACGACGTCCAACAATGGCAATGGCTCTCAACCAAAGTTGGTCTCAACAGTATACCGGCCAACAGCGTCAGTAGACTGCCAAGGCCAGCGCACCTGAAGACCATACCCAATCCCAGACTACTTGCCGTCCAGTTCGACTCATATGCCTCCCTCACAGACGTTCTGCACGCATGGTATAATGCGAAAGATCGCATGGGTGGCTCAATACGTATATGTGAAAGTAAGCCTAGACCCACAAGGCAAGAGGAGAGACGGCAACCACCAAGACCTCTGGAGTCAGTGGTCGTCACACAGGCGCTGACCAGTGAGTTAGATACATCAAGTAAAGAAGCCACCACTGCTACAGCCCCCACCCAAGTTAAGAACAAAACACAAAAAAACGGAACAATGCCAGTCCTATGAGGACTGGCGAGGCTAAAATCAACCACGTAAGCGCTCATCCCTCGAAAATACACATCCAGACCTCCCCTCTCATCAGGTACACTCTAATATGTATGTACAGCAACGTTAGGGGGCTAATAGGGAAGGTAGCAAAATGAGGACGCTGCGTGAACATCAGCACTACGACATCATATTCATCACCGAATCCTGGCTCTCATCGGACATCTCCGACGAAGAGATGCGTGTTGCTGGCATGGAACTCTTCCGCAGGGACAGGGAACATAGAGCAGGAGGGGGAGTGGCTATCTACGTAAACTCCTGTTTAAAGGCAAGGATGGTTAGCGATACGGCCTTAACCCAGCTCCCAGAGTCTCTATGGTGCTACTTCACTCTCTTCTTTATTCTCTCTTCATTCCTTTACCACTACCTTACTATTCTCTTCAGGTACCTACACAGACAGGAGTCATGGCAGTTCTCTAAACTTCCCAGCAACCCGTAGCTCCCTAATCACTCTACAAATTACAACCTACTAACCCACAAAACATCCACCTCACCGAAGCTAAAAGCAAGAAAGCAGAGGGGATTTCCTCGTCCACTGCAGGAGTAAACCGAACAACTGGAACCAAGCCCTAAGAACTAGACGCGAGAGATCAAAAACTACCAGTTTTCTACGCTCGCACTATCAATATTGGATATTGGACATCAGATATTGCCTTTTCTAGCTTTACTGGCAGTTTTACCGATAAAATTGGAATATTATTTTTGTCTCAGTGCGAAAAAAGAGTTTCTTATCTAAACATTGGAATCATGTTTCAAACGCGGTTTGTTTTTATTCATCCGATTTAGGTTTCATGAACTGTCAAATATGGTGTGGGTTTTCAAGGTTTGGCCTTGAGGTCAGATGCAAAACATTTTTCAACCTCATCCATTCTCTACAGCCGTTGGTACACTTACAGGTTAGTAACCATTTAATGGTATCTTAAGTGGGAATTCCTACAGAGAGAGCAACTGACAGTGGACAACCTTCAGAAGATTGGGCACTCATTTTGGAAATTTGTGATACGGTAAATGAGACAGATGATGGGTGGGTTCTTTCCTAATAGTTAATGAAAACTCAATAGGCCAAAAGAGGCCATAAGGGCGATTAAGAAGCGCTTGGTGACATCAGCTGGCAAAGATAATGTCTCAATATGGTACACACTGACACTGCTCGAGACCTTAGTGAGAAATTGTGGGAGAAGATTTCATAGCCAGGTTGCTAACAAAGAGTTCCTGCACGCTTTTTTGAAACTTTTGTCACCAAAGAATGACCCTCCACAACAGCTACAAACGAAGGTGTTATATATGCTGAAGGTAAGGAAGTTGGTGCTGCTGACATTTTTTAGTGCTGGATTTCAAGTAACTGGGATGTTCCTGGAAAGCGTGATCTGGACAAAGTATACGCTTCACTTCTACAGAAAGGAGTTCAGTTTCCATCAGTTGCACCATCTGAATGTGACTTGCCAAAGTCATCGAGAAGTTTAAGTGTGAGTCCTACTTCTGTTGTGTGCACATTTCCTGGTGTGATCCAAATACTCCATGAGTTATGTTAATCTTAGATGAATGTCTACCAGCTGTGTTTATGCTATATCCTATCGTAGTAAGAATTGTTCGGATGGAACTACCATGATAAGTAGTACGACAGGTTTCTTACAATATGTTACGTTTGTTTCATGATTATGAATTCTTGGATTTTATCATCAAACAACAGTCCCAACCTCCTGAGTAGAAAATGTCTAATTTTGTACGCTTAAAGGTTTTTTTTCTTCGAATTAGGTAGTACAGGGCTGCGTAGCCTGGTTTCTTGGTGTCAAAATGTCGATTTGTAGATTTTTTCCCCTTTACTTCGAAACAAAGCTTCATAATTTATTGTTAAAGGTTTCACTTTGTTCTTAAATGCAAGCGGCCAGTGCACACCATCATACTGGTCATTTAGAACTTTAATTTAGTTCGACAACTTGTTTTATTTTGTTTTTAGACATGGGAGTCTGCATGCTGTGTTGAATTATTGTTGAAAATTAGCGTTCTTAAGTTTTCTCTACACAGTGAAATAAGTGCATGAAATCTTAAACCTGACTTATAAGACGAACCATCCGAGTTCATTGTTATCTGGTTATAGTTTTCCTTCATGTAAATGAAGCTCATTTTATCTTCATTATTATGCGACGCAGACTTATAGATATATCTTAGATTGTTTCAGTTTATTTTTTAGTAAATTTGTATGTAAAGTGGTCTAATGCCCAGTCATTAACCAGAACATTGTTGGAATTCGGACTTTTGCATTTGTTTGTGTTGGATTCATTCGTACTTCACACTGCAGTTTATAAATTACGTGTTTCTTTAACTAGGGTTAGCAATCTAAAATTTAGGGTAAGTTTGAACGTACGAGATATTCTGACATTACTTTATTATATAGCTTGGCCCACTTAAACTACCTATATTGGGCTAGGACTTCCATCTTTGATGATTTCGAAATAAGTTATTTATGTAACCGACTTCCGAAGATTTGACATATTTTATTATTCTAGATTGCATTTACTAAAGTAAGTTAGATTATTTAGGCTAGCTGATTAAAATTTTATGAATCTAAAGAATAGTAGCATTATAGTTACTTAAATTTCAAAAACTAAGTGACTGTTTACCAACATAACTGTTATTGTGTTATTATATAATCATCGAATACACTCACTGGTTCTCCATCCTTGTCACCCATAAATAAGGTTAAGATACCAAAAAGAGGGAGCCACTACATTCATTTATCAATAGGGTGGCAAACAAAAGACGTTTGCGTGATATTTGTCGCATTCACTACTATGATATAAAACTAGTCATCAAGGTGGTTAGAAATGATTAATTATTAAATCTATTTGCTACCATTTAATACTCAGTTTGTTGGTGTCTGGCGTTCTCTAACTTTTTGTTATTTTGTGGTGAACATTTTATCACCAGGTTTGGTGACAATCAGTACTGTGAAGTTCAAGGCTTTTTTCTAACAGTCATTTTTTTATTCCACGAAAGCTTTTCGGTGGTATTTTAAATCTTCTGGCTCTTAATTCAGCTTTCTAACTCCACTTCATTCACATAGTTGTAGCTGGTTCATTTCTGTTCAAGCTTTAATACTAATTTTCTCTATATCTATCGATATATTGCTATGAGAGGAGTGTCATTTGATGGCTTCAGATTGTTGTTATCTGAAACTAAACAGACCAGTATGTCTTCAAGATTATTTTCGATTCAAATGGTTGTTGACAGAAGAGGAGCTTCCGCTTAATTGACTTTCGCGCCTACAATTAGTGGACAATTAGTTCCTGTAGTTGTGAACCTGCGTACAAATAAAGAAGAGAAAGACAGAGGTTAAAAGGATTCGGTCGCAGTGGCCCTGACTACTTCTGCAGGAAGAGCATTCCAAGATTCAGCAACTCTTAGGAAGTAGAAGTTGTTCTCATGCTTGTATTCACCATGCACTGATATCAGTTAGAGAAACGTTTGAAAGCTGGGAGCACTGGAAAGCTGATTCGTTGGGTTATGGGACTCCACAGCAGTGCATACCCATGACCCGACCAAGGATCGGACCACGGCCTCCAGAATCTAATAGTCCATATTTTGATCCTTGGCCGGGTCTCCAGTGTTCCTCCAGCTGATGTCTGCTGATGATGAATACCAGCCTGAAATCAATAAATAAATCCTCACAAAACTCCAAATTTGGTAGAAATTGTGCCTGATATCTATCTTGCTGTAATTTAGGCCTAGTTTTTGTATGTCTTCGCGAAGATTGGTGTTACAACTTAGGTTAAGTGAATGATGGAGTGGGTGTCCAGGGATATTTAAGATATTGCAAACCATTATCAGGCCCTCTGTTGGTTTTCAGTATTCCAAAAGACATAGATTCATCGCGACCAGTCGTTAATTATGCATTTTGAACTCAAGTCACCAATTAAATCTGATCAAACCCCTTTGAATGCGTTCTAGCTTTACTTGTCCTTCTACAGTAAGGGAGGGAAGACTATAGTCTCGAACTCCAGATGATATCGTATGAAGCTGTTGAAAGTTAGGCGGAAACATCTGTGATCGAATTATACGAAAATTCGTCCAAGTTTTCTTAGCACCAAGCTTCCGAGAATAGCGTTTCTGTTAGAGTTAGCATGGAGTTTTGTCTTGAGGGACTAAAGTGCCAATTACTTCTCCAGCTGCGAGAGTTTGAGTTGTATGCCATCGAGACTACATACATTACTCTTCATTTTTTGGGGTTGATACAAGACTGTTATTCATCGCCGAGTCTTAAGGTTTGGTTAAGTCTTCCTGTAGCGATACACTATCTTCCTGACTTCTTATTTCTTCCCATAGTTTCACGTTATTTTTACGAAGAAAAATTTCAAGATGAACCTCTTGAGGCAAGCAGCTTATATATATATTAAAAAGGGAAGAGGCTATAATACTGAACCCTGAGAATCTCTACTAGGATATTCCGTTTCTTCAGACAGAAAAACCCACTCGAATTCTAAATAAACGACCTACTAGAAATAAAGACAACCAGCCAATGAGCAGTGGTTTTATCCGGAATAATTTCAATTCATCAATAAGGTGGTCATGATTAACAAGATTAGTTGGCTTGGGAAATACCAGATAAATGACATCAATTCGACCTCGACGGTCGACAATACTTGTCCATCTATCTACTGCTATGAACAGATTAGTAATACAGGAGCAGCCTTCTCTAAATTTGTGCCGTAAATAAGTTAGTCGTCGTAAGGTGATCCGACAGTACATCGTAACTTAATGATTCGATTACTTTGAAAGGTATGGATAAGAGCGTCGCCAGTGTGTATTTCTTTGGATTGATTTGTTGATCTGGTTTTAAGACTGGCGTTATATGGCCCAATTCCAAGGATTGTGGACTTTCCGTTTACCTAGAGAATCCTTAAATAACTTAGTTCAAGGTTCAGACAAGATTGGTGCACCTTCACGCAAAACTGCCGTATGGATTTTATCTGATCCTGGACAGATATCTTTTGTGAACAGTAGCAAGTTGTCCTTCAGTACCTCAATGCCAAGGTCAGCGACCCTGAGACCGCCTTAATTAGTGGAATATTTATAAACTCCTGAGTAGGTGGGTGATGATGAAAAGATTTGCAAATACTAATCAGCTGGGAGTTGAACCATTTTGGTGTTGCTACTAGTCACTAACAGCCCTAATAGTTGAGGGACTCCCCTATAGCCTGTCGGGACATTGCAGTGTTATGGAACAGACTTTTCATGTCAGACACAAGCATGTTTGTACGCCTAACTTAATGCTCTTATCGGTCCGCTCCCAATACTACCATGCATGTGTTGTTCATTTGTTTGAGTAGTCTGTATTTATATCCGTTACAAATCTTTTTATGTTCAGACCAGTGGTTTCAGTGGAATCGCTTAATATTGTAGGTGAGCTGGAGCACTTCGGCGTCGAAAGTGAAACTAACTGGCTCGTGATGTTCATGGTATTGTCAAATGGGAATCTCCAGTGGGTGTTCGTATTCTGCTATACATGGTGGACTTCCGAATCTATCTGTTCCGTTGCTATCCGAAGTACCGGAATGTTCGGCCATCTGAAGTTTCAATGATGCTCATTGAAAAGTTTTGTTAGACTGGTTTCGCGGATATACTGAAAGCCAATAACAACGTGATCACTCTTGGCCAAATGGAGAAGGATTGTTGTGCTACGAATCAAGAATTCTTCATTTGTGCAGATGCTGTCTAAATGGGATGGGGTTTCAGTCTCCCTCTACGGCGTGACTGTTCTCACAGTTTCCGTGAGCTAGAGTTCCTTAGTCCGATTGAAGAATCGGGCTTCAGTGGAACCATCACTCCTGCTGAACTTATGATCTGCAAAGTTAACCTTTGGCACTTTAAAGTCGCTTAGGAGTGGTATGTGTGTTCCAGTTTAGGAAAACAATCGATTGCCTCTAGTATTTGGTTATCACGTTGTACGTCAGCAGATGGTTTCCTTAGTCTTAGACAGCCTTATGGAGCACCAGATGGATTCATCGAGGTATTCTAGTCCTTTAACGTGGATTGGGTGAGCTGTGGGAGAAGGGCTAACGTGAAGTGCTACTCCAACCCCCCTACTATCCTTCCTGTCGTTGCAATACCGCGTAGTGTTAGCAACTGTCAGCTCCTAATCTGAAATTTTGGGAAAAACCCATGTCTCAGTAACACGTGTAGGGTCGACGTAAATATCCCTTCTTAGTTACTGTAGCTCATCAGGTATAATCTGCAACCTGTACATTTTATAGATATAGTTTATGACTCCTACTTTGAACTCACTTCCTGAGACCTTTTTCTTGTCCAGTTTGTTGGCCAAATCCTTAGGTATGTGAACTGGGAACCTCCCTGCGTGCAGCTTATCAGTAAAGTGTCCACCATCCTTCCCCAGTTTTTCGCATCCGTGCAGTCTGCTAAAGATACAACCAGCTGCAGCCAATTCTGTTTTCTTTGTTGTCTCTTGTTTTGCTGCCTATCTTGATTTAAATGAACTGCTGGTGGGAAACGGTGTATGATAGCTCAGATAGCTTCAAGTGTAGCTGCCACCATCAAGACAGACAGGAACACTAGTTTGACTAGCATTGGTTGGGTATCCTCGTGATTGTTAGTCATGTGTCAACTTTTGATCGATCCCACCTTTACGATCCATACGTGTTCCATTCGTGTTTGTTGTAATGATATTCAACCGATTCTATGATCTCAGGAACTCCTTGGTGTATTACATTCCTACTTCGAAAGTAGGCTTCTCGACTCTCACCTTTGAGTCCTTTGACCGAATGTGGAATGTCTGGTATAACTCTTTGCCCCTCTTTAACATCAATTAACTGAGATGCTTACAGTACGTCCTCAATGTGCTCAAAGTTAGAGGACGTTATATTCAATAGCCTTGGTTTTTCTTTGTGGATTGAATTTAAACCCCAAGGGTGCCTTGTTTTTGCAATCGGTTTAATTGGCTTAAGTTTTATTTGACAACTTATGTTTCCCCACAGCATTCGGTTTTTCTTATCTTGAAGGCCATATGAAAGCTCTGAACAGTTCGTTTAGTTCATAAAGATTATAGAGTCATCATGAGTGGTAATATGATCTGCTTTATCATGGTGCTTGGTTAGTTGTTGGATACCCTTGGACGAATTCTCACCTGTTCACTTCCTGGGATTAAGAACACCAACCACTCTTTTAACGGGTTGAAGAAATACTTCTGATTCCTTCCCATCCATCAAAACCTTGTGCCAGTTTACCTCATTTCCTTGTTTATAAGGCTTGAATATGGATTGTATAGTTCTTGGGTTTTTTAAGGCTATCCATACTGTAGGCCTAGTTGGTGTCGAAAGCCAACCACTTTCCTTTCTTCTGATGGGCAGTAGTGTTAAATCCCAGCCTGGTGTGTGCTGTTGTCAGTTTTCTATGAACTTTTTTTCACCTGACCAACAACTTTCTTTTAACAGTCATCAGGACACTGATAAGGTCTCCAAAATCATCTCTGACTTGCGGTCTGTAAATTCTACAATATCATTTACACCCAAGATCCCTCAGTTTGGTGTACTGTATCATGCAACAAACTGTGGGGAGGGGGAAGTGAGGCATACACTGCACCTATGAAAAGACCCAAGAAGTTCTGGATTTCGCCGATCGTTTAAATCCAATGTCGCGCAAACTCGAAGATCCATGGGCGAAAACTGAGAAGTCGGTAGAAGTGACAGTGAATACGTGACTTCAGGTGAATCTAGAGAAGACACAGGTGATGAAGATATCCAACCAACAAAAACAACAACAAACATCAGTCACCATAAACGGGAGGAATGTAGAGGAAGTTGTCTGTTTCACCTACCTACCTACACATCAACCTACTTACACACCTACCTACCTTCCAACCTAGGCAGCAACGTTTCATCTATAGGCGGTGGCACTGGCACATATGAGGATATCAAAGCCAGCCACGATAGGAAAGACAACAAGACAGGCCTTCCTGAACTAACCCGAAGTCAGTGTGGAGATCTACTGCACTGCACTGCACTGCAATCAGCATAAAGCGTGAACAACATCCAGATTTTAACCACTGATGTCAGTCAAATCAGTGCTGCTTCTGTGTGATGGTTGAGAGACTTAGAGCGTTGTGATAAGCATTCTCAACAAACTACAGACATACAAGATCAGCTGCCTCGTACGCTCACTCGATACTCACGATCAGATGGATGGTCAGAAAGAATAAGCGAGAAGGAAGTCACTCTGGCTAGCTGGCAACGAACCAACCAGGAGAGAACCCATCGTCCAACAAATATGCAGACGACGAAAGTGGAGATGGGTCGTGTATACACTGGGAAGAAGGTTTGGGGACACCATGCGCCAGGTGAGGCCCTCGAGTGGAACCCTAAAGGAGAAAGGGCGAGTTGGGCGTCGGAGGCGAGGGTGACATAGAGGAGGTGGTGTGAATAAGAAGTGAAAGCTTCTGGGTAGTGGTGGAACCAGGTTAAAAAAGGATACAGAGTAGAACAGAGTGAAATGGCTATGTGCTACTGAAGCTGTTTATTCCACTAGGAGCTCAAAGGACAAATAATAAAAAAGTTCTTCACTTTGATATACTTTGCCAGGGTCATGTGTGTACAAGCCATACAATCCGTTAACCTTTGAGATTTGCTGAAAAATCTGAAAACTACCAGCTAAAACTTTACCATTATATTCTAACGAGTTGTTTTTTTTAGATAGGATACTCTCCACTTTTGATGTGTTAATATACTGGAAAAGATTACAAGATGAAACATGGTTGAAATTGTAGTTACCTTTAAAAAGTGCGCGCGCATAATTGAACTACTTATCATGACTTTAATAGAAGACTATGCTAACCCCTATTTTCTTGAATGTTTGGAGAAAACTATATCCAAAGCTGCATCAGTTTATGCACTGAACACAGATTATATCCTTGTTAGGCGTCTGATTGACCGTAACATAGAATTATAACAAAGTATAACCTCATACCTGCATTGGTTCAAGTCGCCATACTTCATCATGGTAGTATACAAACAATAGGTGGATAAAAAAAGCGTGATATCAAAGTAGATAAAGGTGGATGAGAGAATAAACAATTTGAAGATATCGGTTAATGCAAATATTCAAACTTTAGATGTCAACGAGTGAATAAATCTGCAACACTGTCACCGATTTTTTAACCATATCCAAAAATAGTCGTTAACCATTGATTCCTTTCATCTCAGAGACCACAAATAGTCAGTCTACACCTCATAATACGACTCAGATCAACAGTTATAAACTTCATCTACTGGTTCTAGTTCTTGTTCTGGTCACACTGAACCCTCTCACAACTTAATCCAGTTACTTCTCGTATGACGTGTTTAGGTAGGCAGTTAGTCAACATGGACAGTACATATCCAAACCATTTTAGTCAACTGTTGTTCTTCACAACCTCATCAATGAACTAGTCTTCCTCGTCAGGTACCCTTCATCTTATGTCAACATTGCTCCCAGAGTGATTCCGTCAAACGGGAGGAAAGTTACGAAGACATGTATGATTGGAATCCTATGATCACTTCATATCTTCTACTTTCAACGGTCATATCTGACAGCTGTAAAACAAGACAGGATGGACTGTAGGCGCAGTATACTTGTCCTTTGATAGGTAGTCGGATATCTCAGCCGTTGGTGCCACAGATGACACAAGTTGGCAAGTATTACACGGGCCATCTGTATCCGAGCTGACATTTTGTCAACAATTAGCATGTTTAGGTTGATGCAACTCCCTAAATATATGAAATGGTCGACATATTCTACCACTTCACTCCCCATCACTCCACTAGGAGTGGACATTATGTTACATTTGACAGGTACAAGCGAAACTCATGCTTAACATACTCAGATTTCTGCTTAATGCGTTCAAAAGACTCTGAATTAGGTGAGCATCATCATACAGGAGGATAATATAAGAGTTTTGTGTTTAGAGCTGGATTAATGGTCCAGATAACAGCTTACCATCGATGGACCATTCATTTTGAATATTTCACAGGTCGTTTAATACGAGTTTAACAATTAAATAATTAGTGAAACTTTTTTAGTTTCTCACGATATTCATGATTATTATAGTTCACTGAATTAACTAACTTGTTTTCTAATTCTATAAACAAATGAATGTTGTACTGGCCACGCATTAACATCATTTGGGTCACCAATGAAAAATTCAGGAGTACTGGGCAGCTATTTCGGTTCGATGATTTGTCTAATGTCGTGCAAACTCGAAGATCTACAGGCTAAAACTAATAAGTTGGAAGAAGAGGCAAGGCAGAGAAGATGAGACTTCTTCAGGTGAACGTAGAGAAGACACAGGTGATGAAGATATCCAACCAACAACAAGCACCAATCACTATGAAGGGGAGAAATGTAGAGGAAGTTTTCTCTTTCACCTACCTACATATCTTCCTACCTAGGCAGCAACGTTTCAACTACAGGGGACGGTACTGGAAAAGATGAGGATGTCAAAGCTAGCCAGGATCGCAAAGAGAGCAAGACAGGCCTTCCTGAATTAACCCGAAATCAGTGTGGAGACCTACTTCACTGCACTGCACTCAGGATAAAGCATGAACAATATCCAGATTTTAAACACCAATGACAGTCAAGTAAGTGAGTGCTTGCTTCTATGTGATGGTTGAGAGACTTGGCGCCTTACGAATAACATTTCCAACAAACTGAAGACATACATCATGAACAGCTGCCACCTACACTTACTCGATACTGAAGATCAGATGAGATGTGCAGAATATTAAGAATAAGCAAGAAGGAACTCTAGCTGGCTGGCTGACTGACTGGTAACGAACCAACCAGAGGAGAGAACCCATCACCCAACAGATATGCAGACGAAGAAAGTGGAGATGAATTGGATTGCATTGGTCATACATTGTATGATCCGTTTGACGGTCGAATGGTAGGGAATTGCGAAACGACGAGTTGGGAGTCCGAGGCGAGAGTGACATGGAGTAGATGGTGTGAGGAGTAATTGAAAGCTTCTGGGTAATGATGGAACCAGTTTAAAAAGAAGACGGCGTAGAACTTTGTGAAATGGCTATATGCTACTGAAGGCATATATTCCACCGGGAACCTAAGTGACAAGTAATAATAATAATAATAATAATAATAATAATAATAATAATAATAATAATAATAATAATGTAACTCTTCAATGGTTTGGCAAATCATGTCAATCAGTGATGAATATACGATCTCTATGAACCTCAAACGAAATTACTATATATTATGAATAAATACTTATTTATTGTTTATCTACTTTTCTTTTAGTCACATGATAACCCAGTTATATTGAAATGTGATACAGTTATCTCACCTACTGGACTAAAAGAACGTGATAAGCCAATTTCTCGAACTCAGGTGGTTAGAAGTTCTGGCACAGGTAAGACAGGATACTTTGTTGTTGTATTGTATGATAGTTGAATAATAACTGAGCAAAGATTTCAAAGTTTGCAGTATTTTTTATGTTTCTTTTTGATTTGAGACATTTTGGTAGGACTTAACCACTTCCTGACAGGTATCTAACTCAGGAGCCCTTAGTGCTCTTACAATAAGCCGTTAGGATCTGACCTAGGTTCGATGTTTCATTGGGTTAAGTATTCAAACTGTTGACAAATTCTGCACTTGAAGTCACTCAGTTCTTTAAGAGCTTATGGAGAGTTGTGTATAAGAATTGATGACAGTGATACCAGTTACCATTGTTCCTGTTTAACTTTGTCATAGATATACTAATGAATTGGACCTTAAGTAATTCTAACATGACAAGGATTGTATCTACTCCTTGGAGGTCATCTTGAAGACTTGGAGTATAGAGACGATAAAATGAAGAAATCTATTTATATTTGACATACCTTTCGCTTGTACTTGTCAAATGTAAGATGATGCTTCAAGATTGGTCTATAACCACCTTCAGTTTAATATGATAGGGAGGGAAATGGTGGAATGTGTCGAACACTTCACTTACTTAGAGAGTTGCATCAACTCGTAAATTCTGTTTGCTGACAAAATCCTAACTTGGATATAAAAAGCTTGTTTAGCATTTGCTTACTTACCACACATTTGTTATCTCTGAGTATATTGCACTGTCTTGGTTGTATTGTGTTCTCTGAGCTGGGTTGTTTAATCGTGAAGCTTTCATCGCCTTGCTAGACGACATCATCAGCACTAACTTCAGTATGAAGTGAGCTGTCAATATCTCTCCATGAGTGATTTAGTGACTTCCTCTGACGATGTGGTCTGTGATTGGTTGTTTCCTTCGATTGTTGTATCATTGATTGTATAGACTTTCCTGTTGGTTGTTCCTCTGTTTGACCTCTCACCTTTCCCTCGTTTATCATTTTCCTTATTGGTTGATAGATCAGGTCTATGTCTATACATCTATTGATTGCTGACTGACCTGACTGCCAAGCTTCTAGAAATTCTCTGACATTCTTTGTTTTTCCTCTGTCCAAAATTCCTACATTGTCGAAATTGAATTCATGTCCATAATTATTCACGTGCATTGAAATGAGTGACGAAATGTCGTAGCGTTTAATAGCCAATTAGTGTTCATATGTAGACGAAGGTGAAGAGGATGGCCACTTTGTCCAGTGTAGTCTTGACTACAGTTATTCCAGTTGATTTTGTAAATGATATTCGGTTTGTCTTCTTTGGTTGTTGCATCCTTTGGTCTGCATAATAGTGTTTGGAGGGAATTTGTTGGTTCATGAGCCACACCAATTCCAAGTGGTCTCAGCAATCTTGTCGTGATTTCTGATATATTCTTTATGTATGGTAGGGTGATGTGTTTGTTGATTTCTGTCGATGACTTTGCAGTTGATGATGTAGGGGGATAGGCATCTGCAGATTAAGTTTCGTGCGTAGCCGTTCTTCTTTAGGATGGACATCAAGTAATTTTCTTCATTTCTCCGAGTTGTTGTATTGTAATGTGTTCTCACTCTTCTGAATAGAGTCTGCACGCAACTTATCTTGTAGGTTGTTGGGTTGTTGCTATTGTACTTGAGGATTTGGTCAGTCAGTGTGTGTTGGCTTCCTGTACACTTGGGTATCAAGCTTACCCACATTTGTCCTACAGACTACAACATCCAGGAATGGTAGTTGGTTGTTTGACTCTTTCTCGATTGTGAATTTGATGTCATTGAACATGTTGTTAATCAAAATGTGAGTGTTTTCTATATTATCTTTTTTAATGATGACAAAAGTGTCGTCTACATAACGAATCCAAATTTTTGGTTTGATCACAGGTAGAATAATGACTTCCAGTTTCTGCATGACTGCTTCTGCTATTAATTCGGATATCGGTGATGCCATTGGAGTTCCTTTCATCTGTTTGTACAAAGGTCGATGAGTTCCATCAGACTTGAAGATTTGAGTTTTGTACGTTCTGAAAGGTTTTTGTCTTCATTGATCAGGAAGGATATCGTTTCCTTGGCCAATCGAGGTTCGATGGATGTGTATAGTCCTGTAACATCGAAGGATATCACTAACTCATCGTTTTCTATGTTAATATTTTTGATCTTTTCTAAGAATTCTGTTGGTGACTTGATGAAATGTCCGCATGATTGGACGAGGTGTTTCTGGCGAAAACTGGAGACAAAAAGCTTGTTTAACATTTGCTAACTTACGACACATTTGTCGTTGCCGAGTTTATTGCACTGTCCTCTGATACAGCTCGAAGACATGACTGTTGAAAGTGGATGACATGAAGCGATTACAGATGGAGCATTGCTTGTGTTTAACGGAATGACAGTATGAGTAATGTTGAGGTCAGGTGAAGGGTAGTGGATAAGACAGGCAATTCAACTGATGGACGTTGTAAACTATACTAGGAGAAGCTGGATTAAGTTGTAATAGGGTTCAGGGTGACTAAACTAAGAACTGGCACCAATCGATGAAGTTTCTAATTGTTAGTCTGAGTTGTAGTTTGGGATCCATAAGACGAAAGGAATCAATTTAATCATGAAAAAACTCTTTTGAAGTGAATATCGATTTCATACTAACTATTTTTTATCATTATCTTCATTCAATTGTCTATTAGAATCAGATGTCTACTTACGCAATCGTTTAGCTGTTGATCCAACTAACTCCATCAACATTATACATCCATGTTCTGTTTGTCATTGTGTTCATAATACAAATAGTCAATCGAATAGTTGTTCTAAACATCGGTCTTGTTTCAATATTCATTTATCACATGACTCCACTGGTGTTTCTTCTAACCAGCATACACGTAATGTACACTTTAATCCTATTGTCACTACTGCTACTACTACTGCTACTGCTACTGTTCAAAACAGAATACAAACTAGTGTTCCTGTCAGTGATTGTAGGATAATGGTTGCCAATTCTGGTAAGTCATTAGTTTTTGTAATGAAAATAATGATCAGATAATTGAGTTAAGTTTATGTCACGGTATCCATGTTGTTTTTTTTGTATTTAACTGACTTTACCATCGACTGACATCAGTAAGAAGAATAATTGGAACTTGGGAGCACTGGATAACTGTTTCGTCCCGATGCATATCCATGACCCCACCACCTATGGATCGAATCCAGGGCTTTCAGGTTCCGTGACCAATACGTTACCACTAAGCTGACTCGGTCAGAATTCATTGGTTAATATATCCTATTTTTCTTACTTCATGAGATAGCGTAACTTTCATCCAATGTCATCGTTAACTAACTATCCTCATGTTCGACTTCGCTGATCCTACCGGTCGAAAATTCTCAATGGAACTTCAGAAATCACCTATCGGAATTGGTCACAACTGAGCATTAGATTAATTCAATTTAAATGTTTCTGAGGATTTATTGATTGGTTTCTAGTTGGAATTTAATCAACTAGTATTTCATTATATGGCCCTGTATTATTATTATTATATAACTATTACTATATTATTTCTTCATTAGGCTCCCAGTGTAATATAAGGCTTCAGTAGCATATAGCCATTTCACTCAGTTCTACGCTGTCTACTATTTGAACCTGGTTCCATCACTACCCAGAAGCTTTCAATTACTCCTCACACCATCTACTCCATGTCACTCTCGCCTCGGACTCCCAACTCGTCGTTCGCAATTCCCTACCATTCGACCGTCAAACGGATCATACAATGTATGACCAATGCAATCCAATTCATCTCCACTTTCTTCGTCTGCATATCTGTTGGGTGATGGGTTCTCTCCTCTGGTTGGTTCGTTGCCAGTCAGCCAGACAGTCAGTCAGCCAACCAGAGTTCCTTCTTGCTTATTCTTGTTATTCTGCACATCTCATCTGATCTTCAGTATCGAGTAAGTGTAGGTGGCAGCTGTTCATGATGTATGTCTTCAGTTTGTTGGAAATGTTGTTCGTAAGGCGCCAAGTCTCTCAACCATCACATAGAAGCAATCACTCACTTACTTGACTGTCATTAGTGTTTAAAATCTGGACGTTGTTCATGCTTTATGCTGACTGCAGTGCAGTTCAGGTTAACTCAGGAAGGTCTGTCTTGCTGTCTTTGCTATCCTGGCTAGCTTTGACATCCTCATCTTTTCCAGTACCGTCCCCTGTAGTTGAAACGTTGCTGCCTAGGTAGGAAGATATGTAGGTAGGTGAAAGAGAAAACTTCCTCTACATTTCTCCCCTTCATGGTGATTGGTGCTTGTTGTTGGTTGAATATCTTAATCACCTGTGTCTTCTCTACGTTCACCTGAAGGAAGTCTCATCTTCTCTGCCTTGCCTCTTCTTCCAACTTATTAGTTTTCGCCTGTAGATCTTCGAGTTTGCGCGACATTAGACATAAATCATCGAACCGAAATAGCTGCCCAGTACTCCTGAATTTTTCATTGGTGACCCAAATGATGTTAATGCGTGACCAGTACAACATTCATTTGTTTATAGAATTAGAAAACAAGTTAGTTAATTCAGTGAACTGTAATAATCATGAATATCGTGAGAAATTAAAAAAGTTTCACTAATTATTTAATTGTTAAACTCGTATTAAACGACCTGTGAAATATTCAAAATGAATGGTTCATCGATGGTAAGCTGTTATCTGGACCATTAATCCAGCTCTAAACACAAAACTCTTATATTATCCTCCTGCATGATGATGCTCACCTAATTCAGTCTTTTGAACGCATTAAGCAGAAATCTGAGTATGTTAAGCATGAGTTTCGCTTGTACCTGTCAAATGTAACATAATGTCCACTCCTAGTGGAGTGATGGGGAGTGAAGTGGTAGAATATGTCGACCATTTCATATATTTAGGGAGTTGCATCAACCTAAACATGCTAATTGTTGACAAAATGTCAGCTCGGATACAGATGGCCCGTGTAGTACTTGCCAACTTGTGTTATCTGTGGCACCAACGGCTGAGATATCCGACTACCTATCAAAGGACAAGTATACTGCGCCTACAGTCCATCCTGTCCTGTTATACAGCTGTCAGATATGACCGTTGAAAGTAGAAGATATGAAGTGATCACAGGATTCCAATCATACATGTCTTCGTAACTTTCCTCCCGTTTGACGGAATCACTCTGGGAGCAATGTTGACATAAGATGAAGGGTACCTGACGAGGAAGACCAGTTCATTGATGAGGTTGTGAAGAACAACAGTTGGCTAAAATGGTTTGGATATGTACTTTCCATGTTGACTAACTGCCTACCTAAACACGTCATACCAGAAGTAACTGGATTAAGTTGTGAGAGTGTTCAGTGTGACCAGAACAAGAACTAGAACCAGTAGATGAAGTTTATAACTGTTGATCTGAGTCGTATTATGAAGTGTAGACTGACTATTTGTGGTCTCTGAGATGAAAGGAATCAATGGTTAACGACTATTTTTGGATATGGTTAAAAATCGGTGACAGTGTTGCAGATTTATTCACTCGTCGACATCTACAGTTAGAATATTTGCATTAACCGATATCTTCAAATTGTTTATTCTCTCATCCACCTTTATCTACTTTGATATCACGCTTTTTTTTATCCACCTATTGTTTGTATACTACCATGATGAAGTATGGCGACTTGAACCAATGCATGTATGAGGTTATACGTTGTTGTAATTCTATGTTACGGTCAATCAGACGCCTAACAAGGATATAATCTGTGTTCAGTGCATAAACTGATGCAACTTTGGATATGGTTTTCTCCAAACATTCAAGAAAATAAGGGTTAGCATAGTCTTCTATTAAAGTCATGATAAGTAGTTCAATTATGCGTGCGCACTTTTTAAAGGTAACTACAATTTCAACCATGTTTCATCTTGTAATCTTTTCCAGTATATTAACACATCAAAAGTGGAGAGTATCCTATCTAAAAAAAACAACTCGTTAGAATATAATGGTAAAGTTTTAGCTGGTAGTTTTCAGATTTTTCAGCAAATCTCAAAGGTTAACGGATTGTATGGCTTGTACACACATGACCCTGGCAAAGTATATCAAAGTGAAGAACTTTTTTATTATTTGTCCTTTGAGCTCCTAGTGGAATATACAGCTTCAGTAGCACATAGCCATTTCACTCTGTTCTACTCTGTATTCTTTTTTAACCTGGTTCCACCACTACCCAGAAGCTTTCACTTCTTATTCACACCTCCTCCTCTATGTCACCCTCGCCTCCGACGCCCAACTCGCCCTTTCTCCTTTAGGGTTCCACTCGAGGGCCTCGCCTGGCGCATGGTGTCCCCAGACCGTCTTCCCAGTGTATACACGACCCATCTCCACTTTCGTCGTCTGCATATTTGTTGGACGATGGGTTCTCTCCTGGTTGGTTCGTTGCCAGCTAGCCAGAGTGACTTCCTTCTCGCTTATTCTTTCTGACCATCCATCTGATCGTGAGTATCGAGTGAGCGTACGAGGCAGCTGATCTTGTATGTCTGTAGTTTGTTGAGAATGCTTATCACAACGCTCTAAGTCTCTCAACCATCACACAGAAGCAAGCACTGATTTGACTGACATCAGTGTTTAAAATCTGGATGTTGTTCACGCTTTATGCTGATTGTAGTGCAGTTCAGGTTAGTTCAGGAAGGCCTGCCTTGCTGTCTAAGCGATCCTGGCTAGCTTTGACGTCTTCTTCTGTGCCAATGGCATGGCTGTAATGGAAACGCTGCTGCCTAGGTAGGAAGATATGTAGGTAGGTGAAGGAGACAACTTCCTCTACATTTCTCCCCTTCATGGCGATTGGTGCTTGTTGTTGGTTGGATATCTTCATCACCTGTGTCTTCTGTAGATTCAACTGAAGTCAGGTTTTGCTGTCTCTGCTACCGACGTGTTAGTTTACGCCTGTAGATTTTCGAGTTTGTGGTACATATGACAGGCATAAATCATCATTGGAGTGAAATCAAATTCTTCTGGGATCTGTTTATCGGTCAAGGAGCGTATGCCCATCTCCTCGCTCCTCACAGTTTGTTGCATGATACAGTCGACCACAATCAGGAAGATCATGGGTGATAGTAGGTGGCAGCCTTGTCTTGCTCCTTATTGTCTTCACTTCAAAGGCGTCACTGAGCTTTCCATTGTGAACCAATCGGCTTGTAGCATCATCATCATATAGCTGTGTAATGAGGTTGATGAAGGTTTGTGGCATTAAAAGAGTAGTGTTGAAGCAGTTGCCAAATTGCTTATCTCTCGACGCCTCGATCGAAGGTCTTTTTAAAATCGATGAAGTTGAAGTAGAGAGTTGACTGCCATTCTATGCTCTGTTGTATGATGATGCGTAGCGTAGCCGTGCAATGTGATCCGCAAATGATTTGTTCATCCTGAAGCCAGCCAGTCCCGGTCGTAATTTTGAATGCAGAGCAATTTTAAGTCTCTGCAGGATGATGCGGTCAAATATTTTGCTTGGTATGGACAAGGGTGGAGCATGATTCCGCGCCAGTTATTACAAAGTCTTAGAGCACCCTCCTTTGGAAGTTTGACTAGGTAGCCCTTCTTCCACTCAGCAGGTGCCTTTCCTTCCTTCGAAACCTTCTGTAGTAGTGGTGTGAACATGTCCACTGTTGTCTCTGCGTTTGTTTTCAGTGCTTCTGGCAGAATCCTGTGTGGTCCTGCTTCTTTCCAGGATTTCTGCAGCTTTATGGCGTTCAGGACTTCGGCTTTTGTCGCAGGGCTTGTATTCACTGGCCACCTGTGGTATTTCTGGATGAGTTGCAGGTGGTGGTGGTGGTGGTCGATTCAATAGTTTTTGAAGTGGCCAGCCCATTGTTTCCTTTGTTTCTCCTCTTATGTAGTAACTAGGTTTCCTTCACTATGTGTCATTGGTTTCATCTGTGTTGATCTCTTACCAAATCTTTGTCGCTCCTACCTGTAGCCTGTTCTGCTTCACTTGCAAGTGTGTCGTGTAAGTGGCTTTTGTTTTTCCGTGCACTCT